AACGAGTTTACTTCCTATTTTCCCCGTAATATTTTATGCTAATAACTCTTAATTAGGTCCTTCATTTTTTAGTTTCTTTATTTGTCTTGGTTTTCTACATTAATTCATTTAGAAAATAGTGTAGAAATAAAAAAAATATTTTTTATATTTTAAAACTATATTAAGGGATCGATTAAACAAGGGGTGATATGATGATCTCATTATTTTAAAATGATCAATGAAAATATATAATCCTTGTGTTTTAGTATTTTTGTTTATTTGACTTTTCGAGTCAATCTGCATAAATTTTGAGCTTTAATAAAACAAAAATGCAGTGTATATCAGTTTAAAAATAATTTATTTAAATTTGTTTTATTGAAAACTTTAAAAATTTATTTTATTCTAATATTCACCATAATTTAGGAAAATTTGATTAGAATAATGCAAACTATTGTCGATTTGCTTAAAATAATCCTAACTATGAGTTATTTCAAAACGATTTCAACTATTCATATTCTCTACTTGAAACAGCCTCATGACTTGTTATAACATGTGATCACACTTAGGATTGTAAATGAATCAATTTTTTTGTTTGATTCGTAATTCGTATTCGAATTAGATGATTTGTATTTGATTTTTTCGAATCCAAATCCGAATACAAATATGAATAAATATATTCAGAATATAAATTTAATTATACAAAAATTACACATTTTTTAAAACTTTCAGAATATAAATTCTGAATATATTTGCCAAACTTTCATATCTTAATACGAAAACTTTCAACAAAAACACACCCTCTATTGTATAGCAATTTCTCAGATTATTATAAAACGCGATAATTTAATATAACACTTTGAAATTAATCAAATGAAATTAAATTTTTATTTTAAACAACTTATTTTTTTCGTAATAACAAAGTCAAATAAAGTTACAAACTTAACCAAGCAAAATAAAATGTAGATATATCTTATTTTGGAACATATGGTAGTTTACGTAATTATGTAGTAGACTACTTTTTATTTTTTAGGAAAAAAGACTAAATTAGATGTAAAACATAGAAAAATACCAAAATATGAGTTTCATTTTTTATTTTCAAAATAAGAGTTATAATGCCAAATACAAAAAGTTGGTTAAGCTCGAGTTCGAGTTTTGGCTTAAAAAGTCGGATTTTGGGTCGGGTTCGGGTTTCGGTTTTTAAAGTCGGGTTCGGGTATAGTACTATCCGACCCGTTGCCATCCCTAAATATACTCCGTACAATATCACATTGTTACCATGCAAACTCCTATTTTGGTGTTAAAAATATGGAACTCCTATTTTAACAAGTCCTCTACGTTTTAATTCTTTTTTGAGCAATTTCTTTATTTTTAAAGCTTTGCATTTTAAAACATATATTGAGTATTAACTAATGTATACAAGAATGCAATCAAACAATATTAAAAGTGCACAATTAGAGCTTGTCGTTTAGAGTTGGAAGAAACTAGAATAAATTAGAAAAAAACTAAAAGAAATAAAAAATGAAAAAAATAGGATCTGATAAAACTGGAATGAACTAGAAAAACCGGAAGGAAGAAAATAAAAATAGAAGGAAGTGGAAAAAAGTAAAAGGAGCTGAATACAATAGAAGGAACTAGAAGTTAAGTGTTTCAATCCAAACGAACAGACTCTTTTACTATCTAAGCAGTTGGGAGACAATTATTTTTTAAAAAAAAATACAACTAAAATAAATATTAGAAATTGTTCACTTTTCAACACTTTCTAGAATTGTTTTTAGAATATTTTTATATAATCAAAACGTAAAATTTATTGCCGGACAACGAAATTATAACATAAAAAATGGGTCCTCTCATAATTTGGGCTATGTGCGAATGCACCTGATGAACACCCTAAATCCCTAATGATGGCCCTGTGCGGGGGAGGTAGTAAAATAGATATAAGTTGATCAGGTGAGGAGTATTAACAATGTCATTTAGAAAATGAAATGTCATGTAAAGCCACGATGTATACGTAATGTGTGCGTCTGTGTGGTCATTGTGGTGACTAATTACACCACTATTTAAAATTAAGATATAATTGAGGGATTTGATCAAGGCAATGTATAGTTTGTAATAACAATAAACAACACCTCTTATCATCAAAGCTGTACAGATAAGGCCATGAGGTGCGCCTTCCCCTTTGTCGACTCAGCGCCACGTCAGCTTCAGTTTTTCTTTCGCCTTTCAGGGAAATGCCTTTCACTTTCCTCTTCAATTTTTAATATTATTTTTTAACACTTGTCTTAATTTAAATAGTTAAACTAAAAACATAAAAACAATAAAAATTAACTTTTTTAATTTTAAATATTATTTTTAACACTTTATTTTAATTAAAATAATTAAACTAAAAATATAAATACAATTAAAAATATAATAACAATAAAGAAGCAACACAAAAAGAAAGAAAGAAGAAGCAAAAGAGACGAAAAAAAACCGGATGGGAAAAACGGGGAAGGGAACTCGCCTTTCCCAGTCCCGCATGGGGGGGGGTTCCATTTCCCTCCCCGCTGCCACATCGCCCTTCCCTTTCCCTTTCCCATTGTGCACCTCATGGCCTAAGAACATTTCATCCTTTTTGCATACCTGCCGAGGAACCGATTCAATCAAAATTTTAAACTTGTATTTGTGGCCCATGAAATGTTTCAATATTCTAAAACGTCCCTCACATGCAGTCGAGATTTATCTTTTGCTCAAACCTTGCACATGAACATTAATTTTTTTTTAAATTGGGTGGCGCTAAGTTTTGAACTCGTGACTTCTTGGTTAACAAGGCTCCAAATTCTAATACCATGTCAAAGAACTAATTCAATCAAAAGCTCAAGTTTGTATTTATGACCCAATAAAAATTTTTATATTCTAAAAGTACCAATCGCACTTTAACATGCCTTAGTAGAATATAAAATATTTTCTGAACTTACATCTAATTATAGGTTTAAGTTTTTTTTAAAGTTATTTTCTTGATGTATGGAGTAGTACTTAAGTCTTGTTGACTAAATAGTCACAATTTCTTCTTTATATTCTAACAAAAAACATCCCATTTTTCTTTTATCCTTTTTTTGGGAGACTGGAGATGGAAAATAAAGATGGAAAGAAAATTAAAGGTGAAAAACACAGGGATGAATAGATAGTGTTCGGAAAGGTGAAGCAATATAAGAGACATAAGATATTCATTTATTTTTCTTCATCATTTCTTCCTCCAAAAATGGGAGGATAAAAGTTTTAATAGTAAATAATTTTACATTCACCCTATTAATTAGGGGTGAAATAGATTTATTTTGCCTTCCACATTAAAATATCCAAACAAGAAGAGAATAATTTTTCAAGCCTTATTTTCTTTTCATCTTACAAAAATATCCAAAGAGGGAGTTAACAATGACTTCTTTTCATCCTTTTTGCACCTAGTCACAGTTTAGCATTTGATTTCTCCTTTAATAATTAATAATGACTATTTTTTCCCCACAATGGATAGCAGACTCTGCTTTCCAGTTGGAAGCATAATTTGTTTTTCTTAATGATTACTTCGTATTATAATTTGCTGAAAACACAAAAGGGGTCCCAAGTTGAAGTATGTTTACCGACGGAGCATTATTTTTTGTGTTAATTATGAGAGTAGAAACAAGAAATACTTAACATTAGAGGGTGGGGTTCCATTAACACTGGAATCCAGTGTCAACGGATGACACTTACCCACTTTGGGGCACTTACGGTGCTCCATTTGTAAAATTGATGGTTCCTACCTCCATAACCATCCCACAAATCCCCTACCTCGGCCCCACCCCTGCCCCCCTCCAAATGTGTGGCTATTATGCATAGCTACACATTTGGAGGGGGGCAGCAGTAGGGCTGGGGTAGGGGGGTTTAGGATGATGGTTAGGGGGGTAAGAATTGCAAACAGAGCACAGGAAGTGCCCCAAAATGACAGTGGCACCGGAGTGGCACCGTACTCCGGTGTCACTAGAACTCACCGAACATTAATATAGTTTATTCGGATATCTATAAAAAATATTGAGCAAAAGATTTGAAGAATTAATATCATGCATCATATTTTAATATTTACCACATGAACTATAAATACTTGCAGAGCAATGCTAGTTTCACAAATAGAATGATCACAAACTTCATAAACTTAATATTTATACTTTGAATTTTCATTTTATAATTATTTTAGATTATTTAATTTTTTTATTCAAGTTCACAAATAGTAAGTTTGTGAATTAGCTTGCTACTAGAATGGTCACAAACTTAGATTTTCATTAAATGCCTACTACTATTGTTGTAATGTTGTTTATGGTGTAAATTAGCTGACCGGGCTTATTATTATAGAGTCTAGGCCGGATCTAGAAAGATTAACTAAGTCGAGACACTAATTACATACCGAAATAAAACATGCAAGACACCATAAAGATTGTAGGTGAAATTAAGCACAAGTAGCCTAATAATTATTACTCTGTAATATTTATTGTGGAGTATGGACAAAAATATGACACAATTGATCCCAAAGTTAACTAAACTTGCACTTCGCAATTGACGTGGGTGGGGGATGGGTTGGGACTTGGCGTCGAAATTGGGTGGAGAGATTTACCGGAGGATTAGAAGTAGGAACTATCAATATTGCGAATGCACTATCCTAGGTGTCCCAATTGAAACCGTGTCATCCATGGCCACTCTCTTTGAGTGGCTATAGAACTGAACCTCCGTCCCAGTGTATTTGTCCAACTTGTCATTTTCGAGTCAAGTTGTATGAACTTGGAACTTCGATATAGGGAATACGTAAATGTATTTGTAGGTCTAATCACTTTGGCCAAGGCTCGAGTCATGCCAAGTTTGGATTCAAGCTGGTTCAAATTTGAGTGATTTTTTGTTCGAGTTATATTGGTTCAAGTTGGAATCTATTTCGAGTTGGATTCAATTTATCGATTACATTTCGGGTCAATTTTGCTTTTGGGTTTGAATCACTTCAGTTCAAACTGAAATTGGGTCAATTAGGTTTCAGATTAGTTCTATTTCGGATCGGCGACCCAACTCAAAGATGAATTCTATGAAAAGAACAGTTTGAAATGGGGTTAATATGCAAAAGCTTCAAGAAGAAAAGTTGAAACAAAAAATAGCTTTAGGTTTCATCCGCAAAAGCTTCAAGATGAAAAGTATTGGTCATACATACATTACCTCAAGGATTAATTGCCTGTGGTACATTGTTGTTCAATGTCCTTAACTGCAGAAAAATGGAGTCATCATTTTTTGTTTTAGAAAGAAAGGATTAAAGAATCCACAAAGCAAATTACCTTATCCAAAAAATCTGTGGCACCTGAAACATCTGTCCTTTCGTTCTTTAAGGATTCAATACGAGAACTGAGAAGCCGCTTCTGTTCTTCGGCCTGCAAAGATTACTCTTACAGTTCATGATAGTTTGAAATAAAAATTTAACTGTTCTATGCAATATATGTAATGCATGTTTGAACAAAATAAGCTAATGCAATCGAAAAACAGTTCAAAACCCACTCTTTTCTCATGAGGCTAGAATACATTTTATAGCTTCCAAGTTACTTCATCACATCAAAGCAATGCTGCAATAGGTTTTCTCATAGGGTATTTTTCATTTTACAAAGCATTTATAAGTATAAACAATGTAACCTTGCTTAGTTTAATTACTACTTTAATCTATTGGTTTAATTCTTCAAATGATAGTAAAATGCTTGCACTAAATAAATGCACATGACCACTATACTGCGTGCTTGTGTTCACTGGTTGAATTTTCAAACAAACATATTATAAGGCATATGAAACTGCGAATAAAGGATTATTGTATCAGCATCCCTTTAATAAGCTCATAACACCTACCTTTTCCACCATGCCCATCAAGTGGTTCACCTCAGCCTTTTTTATTTCCAATAGATGTTTCCACGCTTCATTAATGTCACTCCTGTAAAAATGATGATGATACTTTCATGAGATGAATCACTACCTTTTGCAACATGTTCTAGACTTCTAGTTGTTCTGCCCTTCACGTAATTATTTTCCACATTAGTGTAGCTTAAAACTGGCAATAAAATTCTGGAGATACTGACATCAGGAATCTAGGAGGTCATTCATTCATATGAAACGCCAATTAAATGAGTAAGTGGTGTATCAACAGAAGACAATCCAACAATGAGTTTGCCAAGAGAAATAGAGAACAACACAACATTTGCATACATTCGGATGCCTAATGTGGAAGATATTATTTGTGATTCTACCCTCATGACTTTATATTGTATCCTATCACCTGTCACTCACTGTCAGTCCTTACAAGTTACAACTACCCATAATCAGATTCGTAATGCTGAAGATCTGGCAGAACAATCCTTCTAAGTCTAGCCTATAGTTGATAGCATTCCCTTGAAGGACATCATTCAACACCAATAAGAGCAAGGAAATAACTAATGTTTATGGGGCGCTCGATGCATGGAAAGAACTATCAAGGGGGTAGAATTCAAATTCTACTGGAAAGTAATGATATCAAGTTTTATTTGTTTGATAGGTGGGAATGAAATGAACTGACAACTAGCATCTTAAATTCTAGTGTATTCACTGGAATTGAATGGGAATTAGTAGTATAACAGGTAGAAAATAGGCCCATATTGACTTTACTCCAATGCAACTCTGCTGCTCTGCAGGGTCAAAATAATCAGGAGTCTGGAAAATTAATTCCTCATTTTAAAAGAATTTGAATTCCTTTGTAGAGAAAGGCTTCCTGCCTAAACAGCAAGATGCAATAGAAAACAGATAACAGACCTCAATTTCTTAGTGGGTAAAGCGTTGTTCTTTTCGCCTTATTTTTAATTGGATTCCGGTGCTCGAGAGTGGAATCTGAAAACTAGAGTGTGGAGTCGGATAAGTGGAGTCTGGAAACTAGGAACTAGATTCTGGAAATTGGTAACTCATAACTGGAACCTAGTTTAAATATACTACACAACTAAAGAAAATTATAGCAGGAAACTGATAATTGGAAACTGGTAACTAACACCTAGTACTGGAGTCTGGTGACAAGAATCCAAAATATGGAAGCCAGATTAATATTCTTTTCAAAACTATATTATCACCCATAAATGAGTGCTTCTATGATGAGCCTTAGGTCCATGGGATTCATGTGATTATGTGAGCCTTTTTACACAAACCAATTCTCCAGTTCAAAAATATGTGGTTTATGTTGGAATGTCTATGTCATTTTAGGTGCACCCTAGAATTTGCTACCATTTAGATCGATAAGCATATATATGGAGTACATTATAACATAAAGATAATTACTTCTGTGAAGAGAGTGGGTCCAAGTGATGCTCTTCCACAAGAAGTTCCACGGTATCAAGAACTTTTCCTACCTGTAAAGCAACAAGAAATCAACAACATTAAGCTCCGATCCATGCTAATATTGAAGACAGAATAAAAGACAAAATAGAACCTTACTCCCACAACTCCATCACGGCTTGATAACCGTCCTTAACAGATAGAGTGAAGAACAAGTGAACAACCAATGATGTGCAATTGGTATGCTAAAATGGAGTTTTTATAGTGCAGCATTAGTGCAAATAAACCAATATGAGAAGTTACTAGTTAGTTACAAAAAATACCTCTACATCCCTGCAGATATCCTCAAACTCGTCCTGCAAAGTCATGATGAAGTTAGGACACCAATGTGTACTTGATATTGTTAGAAATTAAGAAATGTTGGTCCAGCACAAACAACAAACAAATAAACCAAGAAAATGAAAAGCCCACTAAGGAAAGTAAACTAATCAAGTGTAATGAGTGAATGAGCCTCACATCGGACATCCTTCCTCTTGAAAATGCTATGGACTCTCCCGCCCAAATAGCTAGCTTTTAGGGTGTGGTTCCCGTGTACTTATGCTCATTACAATGGTGCTATAAGGGTGGGAGAGCCCAATACCTTATAAAGCATTTCCTAAGAGAAAGGCTTCCCATGAGTTTAGGAACACCTTATTAAAAACATATTATTAGGAACACATTATAATGTTCATAATGTTGCTTAGACTCCTAACATTAGTTTAGGAACACATTGTAATATCTATGTGTTCCTGGACAAGTTGTATATTTTAACAGTGAAAAATACAATAACATCAAGCACTGGATATTGGGGCATGTGCAATTATTCATTATGGGAGATCTGTGCATTCTTCTAACTTCTAAGTTTCATAGGAGTCAGAGGTAAGGTATGTTAATATCTTGCCCTCCAATATCATACTCTTGAGTGGGATATACAAGGTTTGTTTGGTTTAATTTGACAACAAAAGTTCTATCACCCGGCCTATAACGATAAGCAATAGAAAGAACAATGAGAAAGTTTGATAAAAACAAATGCATTCTGGAGCAAACCTTTTAATGGTGGCATTATCCTCTTACTTTTGTTGGAACAACAAATGAAGGGCATGAACTAAGGTATTTATGGAGGAAACCAACAAAAACATCACATCGTGCTGGAAAATGATAAAACAAAGTGTCTAAATGGTTCAAAGAACACTCATAAGGGCATAAGTTCAGCCTTCAATCCATATTTTCTTATTAATTAGCTGTTCATGAACAAACCGTTAGCTAGAAAACAATAGTAATCATAATTAGAAGAACTAAACATATAAGATACACGCACGCTCACACACGCACACAAATATCTTACAGCCTACAAAGCAAGTAAGAAACTTCAGAATAGAGAGGAAGATCTTTGTCATACCTCTATACTTTTTTGCATAGAAGAAACAACCTGAAAACAATTTCAAACAAAATAAACCTTAATTTCGAAAAAATAAGACATTGAGGGGTTCAGCCCTCCGTCCAGATTTCGTTATCTCCTTGTCCCAACCCCTCAAATTGTAATTGGCTTTTCCTCCATTGTCATCAATAAGTTTGGTAATTCTATTTTATGAGTACTCCAAATATAATTCCACAGCTTACTTTAAACAAAGCATTAAATTAACATCGAAAGATAGAGAAGAGCTAAAACCCTCGTTTCTAGACTAGTTTGAAAGATAAAAAAGAGCTAATTTTCTTCTGGATGTATAAGATTTTCAGGATCACAGCAATTTCTGAATGACATTTCAATGTCCTCACAATTTCAAAATAAATATCTCAAAAAGGGAGAAAGAAGGAATAACAAAATACCTCCGTGAAGAACCGATGGAGGTGTTCTTGCTCCGTAGGGGTGAACTTCGCGAAAGCTTTGCGAAAGTCCTGCAACAAAAGACCCAAATAAGAAGCTGAAATCAAAAAATTATTACAGACGCCATGCTAGGTCTTCTCCGTACCTCCTGGGAGCAAGCAGTGAGCGAAGCATGGATTCCGAATCTGAAGGACCTCTTCATTCCCGCCTGTCTCAGCAATGGATTCCCCCCTCTGTCGTCCATTGTCTCTGTGCGGAGGGGAGAGTACTGGCGGGAATGGGAAGAACGATCCCTGTTCCGTAAAGGGCACCGATTGAAGGAGTAACGGAATTAGGGTGGTCGTCGGAGCAGCGCCACCAAAACAAGTGAGAGTGAGTGAGATTTTTAAATTAGAATTCACTTAGAATCTGATTTTTTTCTTATTTGAATATTTTAAAGTTGATCTAATCTAATCTCAATAAATTTGATCTGAATTATTAAATAACAATGATTATTGTTATTATTATATTTACAAATAAATATTAGTATTAATCCTTATTATCATTATTATTAATTATTATTACTTGATAATAATGATGATCATTATCATTTGAATAATTATTATTATTAATTACTATTATACTCCGTAGTTATTATGATGATAGTATATTATTATTATTAACTATTAATTATTATTAATTATTATCATTATTATTAAATAATAATTATAATAATATTAATCACTATTATTATTATTATTGTAATTATTATTATTAGTTAATAATAATGATAATTATTATTTTAATCATTTTTATTAGTGTAATTTTTTTATTTTTTTAATTATTTATTTTTCAAATGATTTTCTGAACTAAATGGATCTGATTTGATTTGAACTGAATCAATCTGATCTGAACTGATGTAATCTGATCTCATTCTGATATGTATATATAATAAGTAGCAGAAATAAACTGAAGAGAATGGGACCTTATTTATAAATACTTCGTATTAGGGGAAGATACAGTCCGTAACAATTTAATTGAGGAGTAAAAAAAGTAAAATAAGTGAAGAGAGTAATTTGGTTAAATTACCACCTAATATGCCACATGTCAAGTTCTTAATATGTCACATGTCAATTTTTTAATATGTCACATGTCAAGTTCTTAAATATTGAAGTGTCAAATTTATATATAAAAGATATACGGAGTATAGAATTTGGGATAATACAGTTTGTAAAGATTTAATACTTTTATATAATTCTTATCATGGTGTTATTGCTCAAATATTTCAGTACAATTTCGATTTTACATCTAAACCTATTTGTAATCATAACCTTCAAAAAATAGGATGATATCATGACATATTATTGTTAAATCATATCATAACAATTCGATGCTTTGAAAATATTTTTATTCATAAAAACAGTTTTTTTTTGTAATTAAAAGAGGTAGCGCACTAATTATATTTTTATGCATTCTTTTTCATCAAGTGTATTATTGTATAGTTACGACTTTTGGTCAAATATAATTGTAATTTGATTTTTCAATTAACAAACTTATTATTTGAGTTGTACCCTAAAACATAAATTTAAATTTGTTAAATCACACCAAAAAAAATATAAATTAAACTTACTAAAGAAATATGGAATAACAAATGAAATGTATAATTAATTTATTGATTTACTCGAGTAACATTTTAGAGGTAATGGTCAGTATGCTATTTTTTTTTGGGAACCCGACCCGTAAAATTTTGAAAATGGTCCCATTTGGTACGGGATAAATAATTTACTAGAACAATTTATAAACAAGTTTATCAGTTCGGTGCAGTATCAGTCTAATTTGAAACAATGTGGTCGGATTGATATTTTTGCCTACCCGGATGTTCAAGATACATGGATCTTATGTCTTCATAGGAGGATAAATGTTATGGTGGACCGTACTCAAGGTTTATCATTGACCTACATATGAGCAAAATAAGCATTTCCTTTTTTGGTTACACAATGATATGTGAATTTAGAATTGGTAGCGCCAAAAATTAATTGAAATTAGATGACTCAATTCATCTAAATCGATCAATTCAATAGATTTTCGATCAACCCCCAATTCAATTTCAATCCCATTAATTTCGTGTAACAAATAGACCCTTAAAAAAAGAATTAAATGAATTTGTAATAATGTAGTTATTTGATTAAACTTTTCCAAATATTTTCATGGCTTTGACCTTGCAATTAAATATACTAGTATTCTGACCCGTGCCATGCACGGGATCGAAATAAATTTTTGTCAATTCTGAATTATTTCAATTAAATTTATTTTTCGGAATAAAGAAAATATATTGCTCACATGATTTTTAATACTACAAATGAAAAAAACCCAAAGAAATATAAATAATATTTTAGGAACAGAATATAGAGTTAACAATGTTTATTTTAATACCAAATTTTCTGAAAGACTTCAGGGTATACAACATTTTTGGCATGGTTGCAAGGGTTTCCATTGTCATCAAGAACTAATATTTTTAATCATGTCTTTGTTGTTACTCGTGAAACAACAAAATATATTTGACCGTGTGTGAACACTAACTTGGTTAAAACTAATCTCACAAATGACAATGTTTGACCTTGACTTTTGTTGATAGTCATAGCAAAACATCAGGCGATCGGGAATTGTCTTCTTTGGAACTTCAAGGGTACCCTGGATTAGATGCTACCAAATTCCTTCTAGGGATGTAAAATTTTTCCCCGACTCGATTTACTGAAACCACAATTGCACCGATAACATTATTTCGCAGTTCTTGAATGATTAATCTTGTCCCATTACACAATCCAGATGTTTGGTCAATGTTCCTCAATAGCATAATCGGTATTCCTTCTTTCAAGAATATTTTGTGGTTTGACATTCCCGAACATTTGATTTCATTCAAAAACTCAACTGTTATTCAATCGACATCACCACCTACATCTGCTTCTGCTTGGCACGAAGAATCATAACTCAAGTACTCCTTTTCATCACCAAGAATGAGGGACAGAACAAATTCATTTATCATTTTAACTACTTCGAGAGTTGGTGCCAATAGTGCTCTATCCTCAAAAAAAGAATAATTTTTCATATTCTCAAACATAAGTCATTTCCCAATATAAGACTTAAACTTTTTCAAATTTTTCATTTTTCATTTTCAAATTTTTCATTTTTCAAACTTTTTCCCTATATATTTTTTCAAATTTTTCATTTTTCATATCTGCACTAAATAGCACTAAAACAAAGGTCATTTTTTCCCAATATAAGACTTAGGGGCTGTTTGTTTCAGCCTCTTAATGGTTCAGATGTCTGAATGGTTCAGACATTTGCCTCTGAAGGATTAAGTATTATACAGAGTCTGAATGGTTAAGACATCTTATCTGAATTCATCAGACATTTGCATCTGAATAGTTAACCAACATAATAACTCTTAATGGTTCAGCACTTAATGGTTCAGACCTCTTACTGGTTCAGCACTTATCTATTCAGAAGTTGCCAAACAGCCCCTTAAACTTTTTATCCCTTAAATAACACTTAATAATATCTAGAAGGAGAAATAATATCTTGTGACAGTGAACATTTATCTAAATAATGACTAAAAGTGCTACATTAGGAAATAAAAAACATATGTTGCTATTTAGGGAAAGTCATTATGTTTTAGTGTTATTTAGGTAAATTCCTATGACTATGAATATATATATGGAGTATTAATTATTTGAGTTAAACACAACTTAGTTGCCATTTTGATAAATGAATTACGTGTTAGATATAAGTAAATTTTCCAATTTAAAATTTATATTTTAACTTTGAATTATTTACATTGATCATTCTGTATCAATGTCTAAATATTTTTCCCTCGCATGCATATCATTTTATTTTAAAATATGTATGCACATTTTTTTATATTCACCAATTTCATATCAAATTTATTGCAAAGTTTTGAATTTTTTTAAAAATTTTTTAAATATGAATATCTTTTTACTCAACTTTGTTAATATTCGTCCATTCAATTGTTTAAAATATTCAATATGTATAAACTATTTTTTTCATAAAAAATATAGAAAAATGAAATTAAAGAGTCATGGTTAGACACCATTTTATTCCTATTGATGTAAATATAAAATTGATAAAAAATAATCAGTGAGCTATATGCATACCTAGATAAATCAATAATTATACATTTTAATTATCCATGATTTCTATGAAACCTATGAACGACATTTAATTTTTTACGGATGCAGATTATAATTGATAANATTAAATATATTAAGATAAAACAATATTTAAAGTACGTACCTTTTCTATCTTTTTTTGTTGAAATTTTCCTTTTCTCTTTCTCTTGCATCTCTGATTGCAAAGGAATGATGCATTCATGTTCTAATTGCAAAGGAATGGTGCATTCATCCGAGATGAGGAAAGGTCGGGTTTTTTACGGCTAAGGAAAGCTTACTTTATGGGTCGTGTGATTTTTTTTCATTTAATTCTCTTGCCACCTCAATTTGTCACATGTCACTCCTCAACTTTGCCAAATGTCACTCCTCAGCTTTGCCAAATGTCGTGTTCCTGCAGCTCCGACTCTGCTTTATATATATAAAGGATTTTGAAGAAAATGAACAAATTAATCTTGTAGGGTATTTAATGCTTTCTCCGTCCCTTAAACTCTTTCCCCTTTTTTTCTTATCCTACAAACTCTTTCGTTCTCTTTTCCAATTAAAATCTCACTTTTACCCCTGTTAATTTTTACCCACATACCACATCATACCTTTTTTATTAATAATCTATCTATCACACATAATTTTTACCCATCATATCAAGGATATTTTTGGAAAATTAATACAAAAATATCCACCTCTTAAATTCTGAAAAAAAAAATCAATAAAAGAAGAACTTTAAGAAAGGAGGAGTATTTTAAAAATAAAAAATAGATGAAGAACTCGGTTAGGTTTTCAATAGCTCTGAACTCCAGATTGTCGTCCTTGGGGGTGCGGTGAGTAATCTATAATTGATCTAACCATAAAAGTTTTAATTACATACTATTAGAGATTCATAGAAAAAGCTTAGAGGTAGGAGATGATTTATTTTAAGTATGAAGTCCACATTTAATTGGGCAAGATCGACAATATATGGTACCTTTCCCCCCAATGCAGCCAAGTACCTAATTCCATTATCTTATTATTAGCTTCTTCATAATTTGTTCTCATTATTATTATTATTATTATAATTATCATCATATCACCGTCGTCGCTAAATATATAATAATCGGCCGGCAGACGGCGGGCGGGAGAGAAGAGTGATGAAAAAACCATGGCCGGGGGCGGTGACAACCCGGGGGCAGCAGCACACCAGTCCCGTGGTGTGGTGCTTGGCCATATTCTGCACCGTCCTGACGGTGGCCGTGATCCTCGCCGGGATCGTGGTGTTCGTCGGCTACATGGTGGCCCGGCCGAGGGTCCCGCAGATGATCGTGGAGCGGGCCAGCATCGAGCAGCTGTCGTACGACATGGTCGGCCACCTCAGCCTGCGGATCTCGGTGGTGATCAAGGCGGAGAACGACAACGCCAAGGCGCGGGCATACTTCTACCACACCAGCTTCGGGCTGAGCTTCCACGGGGTGAGGGTGGCGTACCTGAACGCCGCCCCGTTCGCGGTGGCGAGGAACAGCACGAGGGAGCTGGATTACCTGGTGGAGTCGTCGCCGATCCCGCTGACGCCGGAGGAAGGGGAGAGGGTGGCGGAAGGGCTGAAGGGGACCGCGGTGATGTTTGAGCTGAAGGGGACGACGAGGACGCGGTGGAGCATTTGGGTGGTGGGTTCGGTCAAATTCTGGATGCGCCTCGACTGCCGCCTCAAACTTCCGGTCAACGGAACCGCCGTATACCCCAACTGCGCCACCAAAGCTCGGTAGCCTGCATTCGTTTTCTTTCAGTTCAATTCTATCCTTTTTTGTTGTAAATGATGAGCCCAAAATCCAAATACACCTTTGTCTTTCTTTCACATTCAATTTCGATCTCAAAATTTGTCAATTTGTGGCCGAATCTTCCCGTTTGACTATTAATATTGTTATTTATATTTTATTTCAAAATAAATTAATATTTTTTTTTCATATTTTAAGGTCAAAATTAAAAACCTATTTTGATACAAGAAAAACGAACAGGAAGATAAATCTGGACGGAGCGAGTGAGTATGTGGCTTGAAAGAGATAACGTGATACGAGTTATTTTGATTGGTTGAAATTAAAAAAAAGTGAGTGTCACGACTGGATGGCCATCAAGGATGAAAGGGCAACACCCATTCACTACTATTGCGGCGTGGGAGGGGGGGGGGGGTGAAGGAGGTGGTGACGCACTCCAGTGGAAGGTGTAAAGGTGGAATGCCCACCCTGGGTGCCGCACACCACGGCCCGACAGAACTGTGAAGGGGGTAAATTATGTTATAATCTCAGTCTGGCTCTTAGAGATCGAGGTTTTCTCATGCCCGGTGCGCATAAGGAACTATTACAAATAATAGAACTCTCACACTGCCGCTACGAGGATTCGACCCAATGATCAATGGGCAATACAAAAAATGCGATTTTGGCACGACTTTTGGCACAAACGGTAGTTTTTATTCCCGTGACAAAACGTTTAAACACGGACCTTGGCACGGATAAAGAGTGCTGCCAATTTCGGGGTCTAAACTTCATGGCACGAATTTTGAGTCTGTGCCAAACTTAGGCACGGCTTGGAAAAAAGAAAGAAAAACAAAAAAGAAAACAAAACAAAGAAAAAAGTACGGATTGAGAAAAGGCAAAAAAGAAATAAAGAATAGATAAAGATTTCCAAAAGGAACTAAAGAAAAATAGCAAACAGAACCAAATAGAGAAAATTAAAATAGTGAAAAAAATTAAAGAGAAAAAAAAGCAAAATGAAGAAAGTTTAAAGAAAAAGGAAAGAAATGATAAAAATGAATAAAAAATAAATTAAGAGTTAAAAAAGGATCAAAAGAAAAAAAAGAAGCAAAAGTAAAGAGGGAAAAAATTGCAAATAAGAAAAGGAAAAGAAAGAAATAACAAAAACTAGAAGAACTGAGGAGAAAAAGAAAGGAGAGAAAGAAAGGAGTGTGGGTTGAGAATGAAAGAAATATAAATTATGGGAGTGTAAGGAAGAAAAAAAAGAAGAAATGGGAGCCAGTGTGAAAAAATAAATGTTCGATTTTTACAATTTGGCCAGAAGTGACTTGTTAGTCACCTCGTATTGGGCATATTGATTATAAGTGAAATAAAAGTTGAAGTACTTTTGTGAGACATTTTGAAATTCAAATACCAAATCATAGTTTTCGTGAAAATTCATGTACCATTCTTAAAATTACCCAAATATTTTATGATATATGAAAAAATGAAGATAGAAATCATAGAAGTATTCTAAGGGAGAGAGTACAATTTTTAGTAGGAATTCAAAAGACAAGTACTCAAAAAAGGATTGCAGAATATTTACTTCTTTCTTTCTAAATTAAGATTTATGAGATAAAATCTTAAAGAGGAAGTATAATTAAATTTGGGAGGAGAGAGTATAACTAAAGAAAGACATTGAAGACTATAGATGGTGAGAAAGAGTGAGGTTATGAGTCAAATCTAACATTAAAAAAAAGTAAAAACGTGGTTTGCAAATTTGACAATTCACACGGTCAAACTTTAATCACTTTCTTTGCTTATTTTTGTTAGTTATTTGATAAAATAATATAGTCTTCTCACCTAATGTTTCAACTTTTGATGTAATTTTTAAATTTTAAATTTTACACCTATAATCAAATAAATTGAATTGAAAAATAAAGTCGGTTAAACCTCGTACACAGAAACGGGAAAAACATTTTAGAATGTAGGGAGTAATATTTAAATTATAATTAAAGGTTGAGCCGAATTCCCAAGGGCGTCCTCAGACTCGGCCGGACGATCACTAAGAGGATGTAAATTGGACTTTGATCGCAAATTGATGTAAAAGAATGAAGCATACACCAAGTATTTGCAGAGGATGCTTATCATATATAGTTGCCTTTCGACAAAAATCTTAGGAATCAAACTCGAGCCTTACAACTCTTTACCTTTATCAACTGCGTAACGCCCAACGACGTAGTATTTATAATTAAAAAAAGGCATTGAAGAGGGTGAGAAGGAGTGAGATATTGAATGGAATCCAACATAAAAAAAAACGGGGTTTGTGTGGTTGGCTCACTCACTAGTGTTAAATATCGAAACTCTGAGACACGTGTCCCCTTCCATGTTATCGTGTCGATTTGATGTATTGCCAACACTTCTTCCATTCACACTCATTTATTTATCTCTCTCTTCTGCTTCTTCTTCTTCTTCACTCTCCCTTCCCTTCCCTTATCTTCTTCCTCTTCTTCTTCTTCACATCAGCAGTTGTCAGCTCTCTGCATTTCCTTCCCAATTCCATTTTGCAGGGTGAGGTAAAAAAAAAAAGAAAAAAACTCTCACTTCTCTTATGTTTACTTCTCGATCTCCTTATATGCTTTATGCTTCTTCTTTATATTTTCTTATGATTATTATTCTTTGATCTGTCTATTTAACATTTCTTTTATTGGTTCACCTTTAATTTACATGATTGCCATTCTTTTTTGAATTTCTGGTGTACCATTTACACAAACTGATACTCTGAACCCCAGGATTAGAAGTAATTATAACTCTGTTCTGTAGATCAAGAATGGGATTTTAATTTATTCCTCATATATATCACACATTTCAACAGAGATGGTAAATGTGTCTATATATGTATAAGAGATGAGAAATGGAGGAAACTTATTGTGAGATCACTCATATCTTTCCTTTTATATTGTTGACACAATGACACTAGCTTCCAAGACAGAATGTGATCGAGTGTAGCCTCTTTAATATCCATTTAGTTCTAATTTAAATTGTCTATTACTCCGTATTATTTATGATATTTGATTGAAATTATTTTCAATGAAATTTATTTGAAAATTGGCGTGAAATTAAAAATAAAATTTACAAATTTTAAAACTCCTTACCCGTGGCATTGGGGATCAATGTCATGGGATGACCCGAAGGTGCTCAGGTGCACAGTTCATAAAATTGACAGTTTCTACCCCGGTAAACCCCCCTCCCCACAGCCCCGATCGGAACACAACCCACCCCCAAGTTTATTCACTAAATAGTACTTGAATAATGTCTACTAGTTGGAATAATGTCCAATGATAGTGAACATTTAGTTTGAATAATGTTCAATGACGTTTGACATTTACTTGAACAATGACTCGTGGTACTACATTGAGAAAAAATAAAAACAAATGGCACTACATTGAAAAAGTCACTATGTTTTAGTACCATTTAGGTGAATTTCCCTTTCTCAAACTCAATGTTGTTATGCCAAAATATAACTCAAAGCACAATGTTAAAAAATAGAGCAATGGGTACACCAAAGGTGTACCCCAAATGTACACCACCCTCTTCTCCACCACCCATTTTTATTTGATTTTTTTTTTGAATTTCTTGCCTTTTTATGTGGACAAGGAGGGGGTGGGGGACATATGGGGTACACCTTTGATGTACCCCTAGCATTTTTCTAAAAAATATTGTGAAATATGAGTATACAAATTTCACTTGTATATATGTAGGTGGAAAAGGTGAAAAACATTTCCAGGCGAATGAGATAAATCAGCACTGGGAGTAGGAATAGCGGTAGATGGATTGGTTAATAGAACTGTTGGCAAGTGTGGTGTTGTTGCTGGCGACGCCTTGTCATCTGATCAAACTATGTGCGAGAAACTGTTGCATTGTCGTCCTAACCTGCGTCGAGCTCCTCAGAAATGCCATCGGCCTCCACGTCAGCATCTTTCGGAAACTCGCTTCCCTGGCACTAGCCACTGTGACGCTTCCCTTGCGCACATTAAACGCCCTCCAAAACGAAAGGCTGGTGAGTGGGCAATGGGCATTAATGCTTTATGTTATGTTTATTCACTATTAGCCAACATTAGTAGTCACATATTAATTACATTGTGTTTTTAATGTAAGAATTGTTAAGGAACCAACTCAACCAAAAGCTCAAGCCCATAGCAGTTTTGTACTTGTGATTTTCTGGTCAACAAGAATCTCTCATACCATGACAAAAAACCAACTCAACTAAACATATGTTATGGAGTATGTTTTTACGTTCTATACTAACAAATAGCATTATGATATGTGTTTGCAGCATGAGATGCGTTTCCAAGAAATGGAGATGGAGTTGGAGATGGTGAGGTGGGAGAATAAGGGAATGGAGAAACAATTGAGCATGGCCATCAAAGAACACAAAATGATGGCTTTGATGTTAAATGAACTTCAAAACGAATACGATAAGGCGGTTGTCAGAATCGAACAGCTCGAGGACGAGGTTTGTGCTTCCTCACTCCTCCATCTCATCATTCTTGCATCACTATTATACTGCATTTGCACAGTAGGCCCAACAGACAAGTCAATGGGTTTTCAATTTTTAAACCCAATTCCCAATAAGATCGAGGAGAGACCATGAAACTTTTATGTGTTCTTTTTTCCCGTGTGGGACGAAACTTTGAACTAATTGTTTTATTTTTGGTACCTTTAGGTTCGGGGTCTGAAGGGAGAAAACCAACGGCTCAAGGAGATTCGGGGCAAAGCCGGTTGGGGTCGAACGGAACCGTCGTTCCCGACGACCTCAAGCGGGCGTAAAATGACACGACTTCCCGAGCCATTGGGCCCCACAACGACGGGGCACGAACCGGCCCAAATCCTCCTCCACCACCAGCAAAGAATAAGAAAAGCCGCGCTGATGAGGAGCCTCTTCAGCGCGGCGTTGTCGGTGGTGGTGGGGACCACGGTGTGGGCGGCGGGGGACCCGTGCGTGCCGCTAGTGGGGGCCCTCTTAGCGGTGGCGGCCATGTCTTTGGGCAGCGTCGTCCGGTTCTTGCTCGCCGTCAAGAACAACCCGGCGTCCGAGGCGGTGGCTCTCCTCAGCTTCAACTGGTTCGTACTGGGCACCCTCTCCTACCCGGCCTTGCCAAAGGTTGCTCTTTTCTTGTCTCCCATGGTCCGCAAGTTGTGGGGGATGACAACCAACCTCCTCTCAAACACTCTTGCATGATCTTATGCATGTTCCTCTGAGCTGCTTTTCTTTTTCTTTTTTCTTTCCCCCCCCTCGAGTAATTAAAAGAAAGGTTCTATTTGAACCAAGGGACTCTGGTTTATCTATTATCACGGGGGTATGTATGGAATTTACTTTATTTTTTTTAAAAAGTCAAGATGTCGATATTCCTAGTTTCCTACTAGTTTGATGAGCCCTGTTTCTATTCATAGCACTCTACTTCTCATAGCTGCTCAGCGACTCAACATAAAAAGACTTTTCCTCCCAAACATTACGATGACAGCTCAAGGTAACTTCCCATACCCCAATTGTCAAGGTAAAGAAATTTATAATGTCTAATTAATTGAAGTTATTTTCAAAAGTAATATTTATGGCTAGGAGTAAAAAATTTGAAACTATTAAAATAGAAGTCTTGTGCCTTTAACGGTCAAAATAAAAATATAATAACAGTGTAGTGTGGTGTGAGAATACTCATTTGAAGTGTGATAGAAAAGTGATGACAGTGTAATATGTCAGTATGATCAGTCAATTCTCACTGTTCAGTTACAATTTGATAATGAAGTGAGTGTGTGAGTGTAACATTGACAGTGTAAACTAAGCTAAGGCATATGACTTTTACTTTGGTATTTTTATAGTTTCTTAGTTTTATGTAGAGAGTTCTCCCTATTTGTAAATCAATATAAATAAAAGTTGGCGTAAAATTAAAAGATAAAAATTATTTATTAAAAAACTACATTGCAAGTTCTACAAAACACGTGATGACAAAGTTATTTAATTTTATCAAATGATCGATGAAAATGTATAACGAAAATAGAGTTAGTGACATGTGATTTGAATAAAAAAACAAGTTTCATTTTGAGGTTGTGGGAGTATTATAAATATAATAATCTTTTATACATTAGTTTATTTTAAATATATGGTTCATTTATGTGTATATTTTATTTTTATTCAAGTTTTTTTGTAGACGAATTTAAAAATATTAACGAGCATTTTAAGTTCGTGAAATATAAAGTAAGTTTTTATAAGGATTTCTTAAATTTAATTATTCATTTTTAGTTTTTTATTTTTCTTTATTTAATTGCAATTCTAACTTTTCAATTATAAAGGATTTTGTTACATGTTAAAGTGTAAGTTAGGTATGTATGCATTTATCCTATTGCATTGAAACCAATGCAGAATCAAAATTTCGAGATGAGAATTGTTATGATGTAAAATCTCATATCGAATTAAAAATTTAGCATGATATCAAAATGAGATCAATATTGTACCATACCTTATCATGCTCATTCATAATATTAGAAATGGTATGATGTTCATGAGTGCAACATTAAAATTCTCATACTCCCTCCGTCCCCCTAAGATGTTCTCATTTTGACTTTTGGTGGTTTTTAAGGAGAGTTGAAAAAAGGTGAAAGTTTACCATAATACCCTTAATGAAAAATGGGTGGAGTGTATTAAATGGTGTGGGTGGGGTGTAATAAATAAAGTAAGTGGGGGTAGTTATGGTATTTTAATTGTTAAAAAATGAAATGAGAAGATCTATAGTGGACAAAGAAAAAGGGCTATTGGGAAGATCTATGGGGGACGGATCGGAGGGAGTATAAGATATACACTACTGTCGCTTACCACTCTAATTTGTTTTTTAGGCAGGGAATTTGTCTTCCATAGGGGTGGACACGGATTAGTTCCAGACTGATTTCTATTTTCGAAACGTCGATTCTAATACCACCAAGAGAGGTACTCGCATCGGTATCGGTGACTGGCGATGGTGGTAATGAGTTTCGAACCCATGACATCTTAGTAAACAAACTCAAGTTCTGATCATACCATGCATGTCTAAGAACCAATTCAACTAAAAGTTCAAACTTATGATTGTAGGCCTAAGATATATTTTATACTCCAACAAAACTAAAAAAAGTAGTTGATTCTGGTAGCCATTGTCCCACCCCGCCATCGGCACCAACTAACCCCTACCCTGCAACACCCCTATTAGTGAGCACAATAATAGTTCCAGCACGTTTGGAATCAGAACCATATCATGGTTGAGTCTCCCAAAAGGGTTGGACTGTGCAGCTTTCTTATATCATTAAAAAGTATTTTTCTATGTTAAAGTTTTTTGGCTGTTTTTTAAAGTGTGTCTAAGGTACATAGTGATGATACCCCGGAATGGGGCGGGTATCCGGTCCAACAGGAATAGCGGCCCAGCAAGGCCCAACTCATATAACAGATCAGGCGCACTCGGCTGAGCAGAACCAAGAAAGAAACCAAGGTCCCAAGGAGGCTACCGCATCTGGATACATACCCATACTCAGACCGAAGAGGACGTGCTCAGCCTCGAAACGTAGTCGGGCATCTCTCCGCAGGAGGTCTCTAAGACTAGGGCATGCGTACTAGGCCTCGGCTTCACACTACCGAATCTGGCCCACTGTGCATGGGGACCTGTATGCCTTGTTAAATCGGTGGGCCCACGAGAGGACCCCTGCCATGCCTATGTGAGATTAGTTGTAGCCACTCTATTGTAACCCATCATTCGTAGCCACCCTAATGATAATCATGTGGTTGGCGCCGCCAGTTGAACAACTGGATCTTGGTAGGCCCGGCCCGTTAGGTCATGGACTAACGGTCGGGAAGGCCCATCTGTAGTTTGTATATAAACCTCTCTCCAAAAGGGGAAAAGACAGGTTCACTTACACATTAGTATTCATAATTCTCTTGATTCTTAACTTAGCATACTCGACTCTCGTTCTATACTCCTTTACTCTTTGCCCAGTCTCCTAGGCCCCCAGGTTCTAGAACCCAACACATAGTCTGTGGAAGCAAGGATGCTTACGAGCAAGCAATTTTGGATATCGTCTAAATTTTCTCTAAAACTTTAGGGTGTGGTCATCGTCGTCCCGCCTCCACCTGATCAGCTTAACCATCGTGGGAAGAAGAAGCCCATCTCGGAAGGGCGTGGTTTTCGGCTCATTCAAGTTGAAAATGCCAAAAGAAGAAGAAGAGTTTTGCGGGATGAGCGAGATGACAATCATGGTGATACCGCATCGTGTCTCAACGAGGCGGTGTTCGTGTCAGAGTGGATGCCACACCAGTGTCGCATCGATGATCATGCCTGATCTCGGCTCCCATGCACCATAGTCTATAATACTTCATCCTTCCCATAATAATGTTTCAGATTTGATTTATGATGCTTGATCAAGTTTATTTTCAATTCAATTTATATAAAATTGGATTATAATTAATAATTAAAATTTATATACTTAAACACTAGTTCAAAACTTCTACAAAACAAGTAGTGTCATGATATTTTTATTTTATGAGTTAATTAATTTAGATAGGTAAAGAAAATAAATATAATTTGAACATGTAAAAAGTAAAATGGAACATTATTATGGAACAAGGGTAATAGGATTTTGTCATAAGGTACAAGTCCTTAAGTTAAGCAAGTTTAAAAACCTACCATTAAAAGCCCTTAGATTTTCTTATTTTATGGGCGGTTTGCAATACGGTTTAGTCATACAGAATAATGTTAGGAAAATATTAAGTATTTATCTCATTTGTACGCCCCGACTTTTATATTTCTCGTCTATTCCTCATTCTTATCTACATCAAAAAGTTATCTTGAGAAGACCGGTGGTGTACAAATAAAATACAATTATACTTTGAATTGTGCTACTTTCACTCCATATTGTATCTCAGTTTACTCCAAAGATTTACCCTGACACAAAATATAAGTACAACACTAATATCATGCTAGTGTTTTACTTATATGTATATCAAGAGAAACTTTTGGAATACAAAATGAAGTACAAAAATAGGGTCCAAATAGATTCTCTACACTTTTGGTATGGGCTATTGATATTGGCACTCCAAAAGTTACTAGTTGCACTCCATTTTCTTTTTACATTACATTATTTCCCTAAAGTGCCCCTCACCACTCCATATTTGGCAAATGATATTATGACTCCAAATATTAATACTTATATTCCATTTCTTTAATTCTTTGATTTAATCTCTCAAATACTATTTCATTTCACTCCCCATAAAATACACTAGTTATTCAAAATATCCTAATTTTTGTTTAGTTTTTCATTCACTCTTCTCATTTTACTATTTTCATAGTTAATTACTCCCAAGTATATTAGTATAAAATGAATGCATATTTGAGTAATCAACAACTTTCAATAATTCTAAAATTTATTTTTTTTAATCTAAATTTTTTAATTGTAAGATATTTTTTTAATACACAGATCTACTCTCCCTGTCCATTTTGCGTAATTATCTAATTCATGTTTTTTCCGAGTCAAACTGGATAAAATTTACTCATCAATTATGCTAACTTTGTATTACACATTAATGCAATGAAATAAAATTTCAAAGTTATTAGCAAGACATATCTAAATAAATCATTTGAAACTAATATGAAATATAGCACTTTTTATTTAGTTGAGCATCAAAATTCGTTGGGTGTGCTCAAAATGTCAAAATAAATGACATATTGAGAGGGATGAGACACATATTTGCCCATAATATTTTGAAAATGCTATTTTCATTATTTCAATGTAAGTTTATTTTTTTAAAAACGCGGAAAGTGTTAATAAGTTAAAAAATGTGAATGATTTATTTTTTTTTTAAAATAGAAAATAATTATTTTAAACCATATACTCTTTTTCCAAAAAATGATAGAAAAAAGTGAAAAAGCCATCATGGGACCTGTGAAAAAAATGAATTAGTAAAATAGAAATCATCCTAAATAGAACTAAAACATAAAGAAAAATATCAAAATAGGACTTTTATGTTTTTTTTTCTGGAATAGGACTTTGCACTGTGGTAATGTGACTTTGCATTGTGGTAATGTGGCAGTGTACATGTGCAAATTACTATACTTTTTTGGTAATGTATATGACCATTATAGTAATGTAAATTCTATTTCGGGAATAAAAATATGGAAGTCCTATTTTGATATATTTTCAATGTTTTAGTCCTAATTTGGTCTTTCTCTCTTAGTAAAAAGATATATAAATCAATAATGAACTAATTTAATTTTGTTATGAACAGTGTTGAGGTGAAGTACCCAAAAAATCAAGTGCTTGAGGGGCATTTAGGGAAATAACGAAATATAAAAAGGAAGTGGAGTGCAAATAGTAATTTTTGGAGTGCCAATATCAATTGTCTTTGGTATGTTCTTAGCATTTTTGAATAAAAAAATATCATGAACCCTTCTATAAATACTCTCTTGTTACGCTCCCCTTGCATGCTCTCGTTCGAGAGCCACACATCACGCTTCTCATTCTCTTCTCTTTCTAGATTAGACTAGACTCCAGATCTGCAATCCCCCCTCCACCGACGCTGGCGTATCCCTTTCTTAACGTTGCGGCGGTCTCTGATTCGCTTGGTGCAGTTCGGGAACTGCCTCGCCGGATATTCTCTGACCACGATTGCCGTCGTCCGTGGCTGATCTAGTTCCCGCTTTGCATCAACTGAATCCGAGGCCGCCTAACCTGTCATAGTTTCCCCTGATCTCGTCCTGTTTGGCGCGAGGCAGCTTCGATTCATTCTCTTCGATCTCTTCTCCTTCGATTGCCTTGATCTCCTTGTTAGGTCTGATTCTTCTTCTTTTAACAGCATCTGTTTATTGATTGTGGCATTGCGTGCGTATTTATTCGGATTTTGAATGTGAAGATATGCAGATCTTAATTCCTACATTTACATTGTTCCAATTGAGAGAGATTAAGGCTGAAATCTTATGAATTGATTTAAAACAGAAACTTGTTTGTTTGTTAATTGTATATCAATTGATGTTAAATGCGCTTCGGCATACCTCTATTTATAATTATAATGATTTTTTTGTCCATCTTAAATGAGGGGGTGAATTTAGCAAATATGGATGGAAGGGTTGGATTTAGCCATTTAGGATGTGAATTTAGAGTTTAGTCACAGCTTTTTAATTAATTATAATAAACTATAAGTATAATTGTCATATTCAACCCAGTTCTATTCATTATTATCCAATTCATGAAGTAAACTCATGGAATCCAATTTAGAGTTAGTTTTCATGTAGATTATGAGAAGGTGCATTTGAAAGCAGGGCATCCACACTCCTAAGACATTATCATGTCTTAAATTAAGCCACACTCGATGTTGCATCATCCGTTTCATCTCGTGAGTTTTGCGAAATGGTTCAATGTAATACGGAGTATTATTTTGTTGGGTGGGATTAATATAATAGTCTTCTGGGTTCGAGTTTTGGTTCTGATCAGGTCACTTACCCGATTGAATGAATGTGCCAAACGCGGGAGGCCTCGTCTTGGTTCAGTTGATGGCCTTGGAGTAAGTTTCTCTATTTGTTTGTGTTTTGTCATTCCTTTGGTGGAGTGGACTTTGTGAGCCAATGACATTGTGCCGTAAGTTTCTCTATTTGGACAAACAGGTTGAGATCTATTTCTCTGTGCACTGACATGTAGAAGATCCTGTGTATGATTTTTATAGGCACAAATGTATTCAGTGTTTGATGTTAAAGACGTTATCACCAAAAAACTATTCAGGACATTTGTTTTCACAGTTGCTTCTTTTAGACATAGCTTGGGACATTACCTGAAATGTGAGCTTAAAACTGGTGTTCATGTTAACTACTTTCATCATAATATTTGTTCCTTGCAAAAAATGTTGATGTGTTTATAAATTATGTGCATCCAAAGCATATACTTCTATAAACCACATTGGATCATCTGGTTTGAGCTATGGGTCGGGCATAGTTTTTGTACGGACCATGCTACGTGTACACCACTTGGTGTATACCATTTTATACACCATAATTTTGCATCAGTACTTCAATGGTTCACACTAACATAAAATTTCTATGTAAAATTTTGCAATACATTTTGTGCAGGTATGAGTCATCAATGTGTCGGTGTAAAGCTATGATGTACAAAAGTAGCGTGTAAATAGCATTTTTGTTTTCGTAATCGGACCGGAGAACTGATGCTAGTCAGTCAATCATAATCTTAAGAAAACATTTCTTCTACATCCATTCTTGAGACTATCCAAGTGTTAGAGGTATGCCCATAAATCCCATAATAGCTCCATAAAATAATAGCCTTGCAAGTTGTAAGTTGTCATTGTCCGGAGCAAGAGGGGATCACATGTAGATCTGGTAGTGGTGACCGTACACGAATTATAAAGTCCAAATTGGGTGGCAAACATCCCTAAATACGTATAAAAGAGCCCAATTTACAAGGCCTAATGTTTGGTAAATCTTATTTTGAATTATGAATATATACTCAGTGAATTTTTTACCATTTTAACCAAAAACAACATTTCCTTAACAAAAAAAAATTCTGAAACTCAAAAGGTTATATTCCCTCTGTCTCAAAATATTTGCAACGTTTGCTTTTTCAGCAGTCGTGAGAACTTTTGTTTATTTCTACGTTTTCATTGGTTATTTGATAAAATAAAATATTCTTGGCATCTCATATTTCGAAGAACTTTTCATGTAGTTTTTTGATATGTAAATTTTATTTTTTATTTCTATATCAATATGTAAATAAAATAAATTGAGAAAACTTGATATTTTACTTCGGGATACAAGTGTGACAAATATTTAGAGACGTATGGAGTACAAGGTATCACTGTAGTTTTTTTGACATTAAATTTTGATGTCACATCAAGTTCTTTGAGGTCAAAATTTTGATCTTAAAATCAACAAACTTGGGTGTAATTGACTAAGGTGCGTGGGGTAAAAAAAAGATAACTTTGCCCTTAAATAGAAAAGAACAACCTTAGATGCAACATAAGGAAAAAATGTTCATTTAGGGTATATTTTTTTGGGTTTGAAAAATTAATTTTTAATTTTTTCTAACTCCTTGCAGCTTTTTTCAATTCTTTTTAGTTTATTCTAACAACGACTTTAAAAAGTATTTATATCTGATAAATATACAAAAAAAATATTATATTTTCAAATTTATAACATATAATTTCAAACATGGAGAATGGTGAATTTTTTTTCCAAAGTTAAAGTTTTTTTCATATTTATTTGAGTGATTATTTAATTGAGTTATTTTGTAATATTTAAATTTTTCTAATATTTTCTAACTCTTTCTAATTTTTTTCAATTTCTTCTCGATTCTTTTAACTTCGAACTCTGGAATTCTAATAAAAAAGAAGTAAATTCATTAATAGAGGAGTGATTTAGCAATACTTTTGTCTTAAGCTTGGCAGTGGAAGCGTGTAAGTAGAGTTTACATTCACAAAATGCACAAACTTATCTAGCATGTTAAGTAATGGTTTCAAATTATGGTCTCAAATAATTAAAAATTAAAATCTTAAAACACAAATAGTAAGTTTTCTCTCTCAAGTTTGTTCATAAAAACACTTACATTTAATGTATGTACTA